TTTTTAGGCTTGCAGTGGAAAATTCAACCCAATCTTTCAGCTACTCTACTTTGACAGTCTGGAGTGCTTGCCAGAGGAAGGAGACATTTCTGAAGCTTCATGCCAACCAGTATGTTGATCAATATACATTATAGTCAGAATTTATGGACTGGTCAGGGGTGTAATACCTTTACTTGAGACTATTGTACATAATTATTGCTTTGGCAAATGTTATTTTTCCATTAGACTGGATCAAGATACGATGGTCAGATTGCTGTTTTTGGAAGTGACTTCCAAAAGAAGTTATCAGATCAGAAGTTCTTCATTGTAAGTGTTGAATCATTATTATGCTGAAATAAATATTTATGATTCATTAAGTACAGTAAATCCAGAATTTGTATGGGTCCTGGAAAACCTGGAAAGTCCTGGAATTTTATCTGGACATTTTCCAAGACTAGAAAAAGACTACAGGTCCTGGAATGGTTTAAAGTGAAATTTGAAGTCCTGGAAAAATCAATCTAAGTCCTCTGAAAAGTCCTCAAAATTTAATACTGGAAATGAGCACAAACCCGGTAAATGATTTATCTTTGTGTACTTTAATTCATTGGGTAATTATCTTTAAAAGTAAGAGTGGGTTGTTACAGTGAAGTGTTGATAAAACTTAACTGTCATCTCTCTAAATGTAAATTTAGCAGTAATCAAAATGCATCTTTGTCTTTTTAAATCTTTTCTTGCATTTCTTTCTCCTTGTAGGTTGGAGCTGGTGCTATAGGATGTGAACATCTCAAAAACTTTGCTATGATAGGATTGTCTTGCAGTGCTTCAGGACACTTGTTTGTCACAGATATGGACACCATAGAGAAATCAAACCTGAATAGGCAGTTCCTGTTCAGACCGGCTGACGTCCAGGTATGCTTTAACACTCGGTTACATTAACTTGTTACCTTTTGGGCAGTTTGTGTCTAGTGCATCAGTATTGAGCGCTAGATCTGATTAGATATGAAGGCCTGACAGGAATCATTATGTGATGCATGTATCTCTTAGAGTGCTTTTCCTTGCCCAGGAATATGGAAAATTGTCAACAAACTGTCGGCATGGAAAACATGATTTGCTGGAAGTTTTTGTCACAACTGTTTCTCAAACATTGTCCAATGTCCGCATTTTTTTTTATGTTACTTTTTTATAAAAGAGTATTGTTTTAATTGAAGATTGAATTTTGTCATTTTTTTGAAAATTGTTTCTGGGAAGAAAATGAAATCAGAAGTTGCAGCCAAAGCAGTGAAGGTGATGAACCCTGAACTTAACATTACAGCACACCAGAACAGAGTTGGACCCGAAACAGAAAGTATCCTTTACGCTGCTGAGTAAATTCTTCATTTTGTAGGATTTGTGTCAGTCCCTACAGTTTTCAACAGAAAATGTTATACAAACCTTGTTAGCTACCTTCAACTGCTTGGCTGCGTATCAGTCAAGAATTCAAAATTGGCACAATCTCCCGGTATCAACGAAGATAACTAAGAGTACTGATATGCATTTCCAATTACCCTTGCACAATCCAGGAATGCAAGTAAGTAGAGAAACGAGTTAGTGGAGAGAGTATAGCCAACAGATGAGAACCAAATTTTTCAGCTGAAAACTGGTTACAATTTGCTTTTCAGAGTTTCCTATGAAGATTGCGCAGTGAGCCTGTAGAATTTCGATGATTTCGTTTATGAAAACATTATCTCCTTAACTGTATAAGAAATATACCATGACGATTTCTTTGAGGCACTTGATGGTGTTGCAAATGCCTTGGACAACATTGATGCTAGTAAGTGTCATGTCTCTTACGTTTAATTCTACATAACTCGTGTGAATTTTGACAACTTAGAGGTAAGCGCAGCTTTCTTTAACACCTGCCTCATTCATCTTCCACTCGGTTCTCTTACACCGGTAATGGCGTTTAATGCGAGTCCACGGTTTAATAAAGAAAATATGGAAATGCTTTTCTTAGCACTTTTAGCTATTAAAAAAAGTATAAACGGTACGGTTGATGAAATTTTATTCTCTGTTCAGGAATGTACATGGACAGGAGATGTGTTTACTACCACAAACCACTCTTGGAATCAGGAACTCTCGGGACAAAGGGAAATGTTCAGGTACTGTATCAGATCCGGAGGGAGTTCATGGTCTCGTTTGTATTGTTTTTACCCCTTACAAGAAAATCCTTCAACCTGTCCTTGTTTTTAGGTTGTGCTGCCATTTGTGACAGAATCTTACAGCTCCTCTCAAGATCCCCCAGAGAAATCCATTCCTATCTGTACACTGAAAAATTTTCCAAATGCTATTGAACACACTTTACAGGTAAATTGGGAATCTTTTGAAAGATTCAAATGTTCTAAAACTTATTTTACTGTTATATCAAATTGACACTAATTCAACTGGTATAGCAACACTGATCTCCTTCAGCAGTGTCTCAGCAACACTTTCTTTAAATTTACTGTAAATAACAGTAACACGATTGATGTTTGAGGCAGCAGTTTTTTTTATAAGGTCTATTCGATGAGTTACCGTTTTCACTCTAAGTTGGACCAGAAATGAATTTTTCCCTTCAAAATGTCAAAATGGTTTCAAGCAAAAAGTAGACGAGAAGAAAGAAAAATACCATCGAGGGGGTAACGGTTAGTTTGATTCTAAATATCTGAGCCAGAATTAAAAGAGATGAAGGGCAGATAGTAGGGGCCGGTTATTTATGCGAGGTCTAACCCAAACCGCGGTTTTACGCAAGCAGTGGGCTTCAGGCTTTCACTATAGTAGGGTTGATTTAATTAGATGTTCTTCCACTGTTTTGGCCCTCTTGGCACTGTTCACAGAAATGAATGTTCATATTGTACTAAATTGAAGATGACTTAGAACGCGGTTTTGTTAAACAGCGGCCAAACTTTGTTAATTAACCGGCCTTGGGAGTTTGAGGGTTGAATGAAGTATTTCCACATTTCATTGAATCCCTTTTAAAAGATGCATTTTTTTTGCCTAAGGCTATTTCACATCTTTACAGTTCTGACATAAAGTTCCCTTGATTCATGCCGTACGATGCATTTCGTTTAGTCTAAGTTCATTTCACTTCTTTCTTGCAGTGGGCAAGAGATGCGTTTGAAGGACTATTCACGATTCCAGTGGAGAATGTCAACCAGTTTTTGAGGTGAGAGGCAAACTCAACCAAAGTCTTGAACAGGAAAATTTCATGGTCGCAATCCTGTAACATGACAACATTAGTGTCGACTGTGTATTGTGATCGTTCGTGAGAAGGAAGTCCCTCAAACAATTTGGTTATTGTGGCTAACGTCTCAAAAATCTTGAATGGAAAACATCATCAGAGTCTTCTGATCGATCTGTTGATAAATTCCGCTCGGGTTTTCGAAACGTTATTTATTGTCACCTTCAACAGTCTCTTTTAGGAGTATCCTCTCCCCTCCCTCGCTAACACCTGCCCCACCCTCGACTACTCTCGATCAATCTGCTCGCTTTGCTGTTGTTCAGGCCTTTCTTCAAACAAGTTGCTCTTCAACATAACCACTTTCACAATTATCGACATCTACGATCCACGACAGATACAACTATTCTCTTTGTATGGTGAAAACATTATCCCTTTTCAACTATATGAATGTGTGATCTTTTTAGATCACAAGAACTAGATAGAGAGAAGTAGAAGAGAGAGTTTATAATCTCACCTGCAATTCATGGTCATGGCCAGGAAGGGAGGAGAGAGGGTTTATATTTGTGTGATAGTTACATAAGAATTATTATAATCACCAATCTACTGCCTGGCACTTACTGTTTTATATCTTCAATCTGTAGTGACCCCAAATTTGGTGAGAGAACAGACAAACTTCCTGGGATGCAAGCGGTGAGTTATTAAAGAACATTGTCCTTCACTGAGATAAAGAAAAAAAGGATTAAAAAAGTAAAGGACCTTGATTTATTGAGCGAGAAAGATGGTAAACGCGCTGACTTTTCATGGTACACGGCTGGTATGCCTCTGCGCATCCCGATGTCCTAACAGTCAGCGTGCTATCGAGGCTTGGCTGGGTTAATGAGTTGTGTTCCTTGGCAAAACATTTCATGCTTGCAGTACCCTTTTCCACTCAGGAGTGTAAGCTGTCGGGGAAATCTGAATTTCTGGTGGTGGGGGGAGGGGTGGTGTCCTATCTGGGAGGAGTAGTAATACTCCTTGCCAAACGGGATGAATCACGTGTTTCAAGTATTGACTTCACCTTACCTGCTAATCCTCCTGAACGGAGAGTTGGTGTGTGGCCGATAATCCCATTTCTTAGTTTTCAGTTATTCATTTGCCCTTTGTTTCCTATTTATTTCTTAGACTGAAATCTATGACAGCATCAAGAAATGTTTAGTTAGCGAGAGGCCAGTTGACTTTGCAGACTGTGTGAGATGGGCCAGGTTACAATTCCAGGAAAATTATGTCAACACGATCAAACAACTCCTGTACAATTTCCCTCCCGACCAGGTAAGTACAGTTTTTAATCTTTCTTATTTCTCGCTCTTAGCACTTTTAAAGTTTATTGAGTAGGACTAAATATTTGTGTAACTGCAATCCTGGGAAAGATCAAACATTACAATTGAAATAATTTATTCTATTAAGCTCGAATTTTCCAATGACATAATCCAGGGATGTAACGGATGTTTGATAAAACCCATCTAATCTGGTGATCAAAACTCGATGAATCTTCCTCAGATAATTCAATATTATCGCTGTAGCCAGGTCTTTTTCTTTCAATCATGAAAATTAAAGTGCATTCCCGGAAAAAAAAACCTGAAAGGATAGTTTGTCAGGGTAGACAAACTGTTGCACAGCAATGGTTTCAGTCATTTGAGTTTCCAAACCATTTTGATGTGCCTGTTCTTGTTTCATAACAGTTGACAAGTTCAGGACAGCCATTTTGGTCCGGTCCCAAGCGATGTCCTCATCCACTGGAATTTGATCCGCGTGATGTGAGTTCAGGGGAATTTTGTTCTTTTTTTGAGATATTGTCTTTAAGGGTGTCAATGAGTCAATAATTTTTATTAAGGAAAGTTTTTTTGGGAGTGCGATAGATAAAGACCCAGTAAATCTTAGGAGTAAGGCGATTAAATGATTTAAAATACTCGAAAAGAGAAAAAATGAATTGTCCTCACAAGGATAATGGAGAGTATCTAAGAGAGAGAGAGAGACAGAGAGACAGAGAGAGAGAGAGAGAGGAATGAAGAGAGGACTGATTTCCATATCCGCTTTGTTTCGCCACTTCTTTTCTCTGCAGTTAGAGAGCTTCGAAAAGGCAGAGAAAAAAGGCTTCTTAACTGTGTGCTCTTCGATAATTGTTTACACGTACCATTGTTTTTAATGTTTAGAAAACACACATGGACTACGTCGTGGCTGCGGCGAACTTGAGAGCATTCATGTTTGGAATCAAAGGTAAACTCGTTATGTTCACGAAAACATGTGAAGCTCGCGAAAATTCGTTTCTGGGAGTCACACGATCGCTGCAAACTGTCGCCCTATTGTCTTCTTTCTTCTGTCTTCTGTGTGTCTTTTTATTTGTTTCTTGCTTAGCTTTACCGTGCATTGTTTTTAGTTCCTTTTTTTAAGTTAGAGTTCTTTTGTTTGTTGTTGTTCATATTTTTAATTTTGTTGTCATTGCCGTTGTTTGGCTAGAGGTTGAGTGGCATGTTTTTTGTAGTCATAGCCGTTGTTTGGCTAGAGGTTGAGTGGCATTTTTTTTTCTCTTCTCCAAGGTGGTCTAGTTACTGTATGTCAAAACTATGAATTTATACGTTTGATAGTAACACGTTTCGTTTGTTTTTTAAGGTTCACGAGACCAAAAACTCGTACTTGATTCTCTTAAGACGGTCAAAGTGCCAACGTTTGAACCGAAATCAGGTTAGTTTTCAGGGTGGGTTGGTTTGTTTTTAACTTTTGGGTCAGTTCATTTTTCTTTCCTGATTTGTTGTGATCCTCTCGTATTCTTTCTGAAAGGTGTGAAAATTTCGGTAACTGACGAGGAAGCAGCTCAGGAGAACTCTGGGTCTGTTGGTGAGTTGTTTTTGTTTTATTTTCAAGTTTTGAGTCCCTGCTATTGGGACCATATACTTTCTTTCTGCCAAAACTTTTACTTCAAGTGACGAATTTTCGATATGGGTCGTGATCGGGATGGGGTAACCACGCCTGGTTAGTTCATGTTGTAGAGCGCCGGACTGCTGTGTGGAAAGTCGAGGGTCGAGTTCTCCACTAGATCAACACTCATAGTCTTAAAATAATTGAGGAGAATATTCTGCTTTTGCTATGATGTTCGCAAATGGTTAGATATTCTATTCTTCTCGGATAAGGACGGTAAACCGTAGGCCCCATCCCCAGAATTTTCACCGTTTTGGTTAACAGGGGACGTTAAAGAACCGAAGCACTTCTCGCAAAGAGTGGGGGGCGTAGCTCTCGGTGTTGTGGTGTAGTCTTGATATTGTCTATTCAGGTCCCCATTTAAACCAGCTTGAAAGCTGAACTGGGCCCAACTATCGCAAATAATTTAATAAGTAAGAATTAAAGGAGGCTGAAAGATTCATCCGCTCATATATCACTTCTTCACAGATCAAGACATCCTTGAAGTGACAAAAGCTGCAGTTCTTGCCGTAAAGGAGCAGATGCCAAGTTTTAAGATGAATCCTGTTGACTTTGAAAAGGTTTGTTATTTGTTATTGAAATCATTGAAAGCGGCTTTCGTCGACTTGAGATTCAGAACTTGTCAACTCCACGAGTGCCGTTATTCTCCCAAATAAGAGTTGCTGTAAGCTTCTTCGGCTTCTTTCTTCTGCTGTTTACGAGGAAGCTGTTTGAAGCGAATTGGTGTTTGAAATCGTCACCTGATTCAATTTTAAATTGACATTTGCAGGATGATGACACGAACTTCCATATGGATTTCATTGTGGCAGCATCCAACTTGAGAGCAGCTAACTACGAAATCCCACCAGCTGACAGACACAAGGTACACACAGACGGTGACGATGATTAAAGGGTGGTGCTAATCATGTTTCACAGAAAGAAACTTTATCACAACAGACTTGTTTGGAGTTAGAAGTTCTTTTCCTTAGCGCTAACCATTTGACACGTGTCCGAGACGTGATACCGCTTGTACAGAATTTCCCTCTAATGATATCTTTAGTAAACATTTCTTCCGCTAATATGTGATTTGTTAAAAAAGAGTGTTACGGAAATTATTGTTCACCGTGATAACAATAAAAAATCGTGGTTCAGGGCGTATCAAAGTCTCGTCGCGTCAGAAACTCCATTTCACGGGGAAAGGTCAATTGTCATACCTTTTGTTCCCTCTTCACAGAGTAAGTTGATTGCCGGTAAGATCATCCCAGCTATTGCTACTACAACTGCCTTGGTCAGCGCTCTGGTCTCACTGGAGCTGTTCAAGGTAAGTAAGAGATCTCGTCTGTCCTGAGCTCTAACCTGGTGCAAGATAAGAATTGAAATACTTTATTGATTTCTTTTGTTGGAATTTTAGATCGTTCAGGGAAATAAGAAACTGGAGACCTTCAAAAACGGATTCATCAATCTTGCTTTGCCATTCTTTGGCTTTTCGGAACCAATCACTGCACCGAAAAACAAGGTAAGACTTCTATACTTTTTCCGACCAATGCACGCCAGCATCAAATTGAGCGGGCTCAACGTAAAAAAAAAATTAACTAGGAAAGTTTAACGCAAGACCCTTCTGAAATAACAAACAAACAAACGAGCAAAAACGTAACAGAAAGCAAACCTTACCGCCTGCCAACAGAGGTCAAAGTTCTCAAGTGAACTGATTCATGGAGTTCTTATTTAACTTTCTTGCTATTGGCCGTGGTGATTACTTTGGTACGATGCTTTTTCGAAAAGCGTTCTAAGCCTTGCACTCTATCTTTACAGTATTACGAAAACGAGTTTACACTCTGGGATCGATTTGAGGTTAACGGACGCAAGGAAGACGGAAGTGAGATGACCCTGCAGGAACTTTTTGACCTCTTCCAGGTATATTTTGAAAGACCCATCTGTACAAAAACATCGTTTTGATTGTCTGGTTTTTTTCAGTGGACGATTTTCGACATTCAAAATTCGCAATGTATTTTGGGTATCAAAGAGCTGTGTATGGCTCATTATGAACTACTGAGCTAAAGTTAAAAGTGAACTTTACTTCCAAACAAAAACATTTTCCGCGCAGATTCATGTGACCATAAGTGGAAAGTAGTTATGTTAGTTCTACCTTTATATTCCCTCGGCTCTGAAACTCTCACAACGTGCTCTGATCAGTAAGTGTTCCGCGTTTTTATTTACCGATCGGAGACACATTTGTCCTATTGCTTGCGTAGTAGGCGCGCAGATCAGAAAAGTGGGCACTACTGCTCGAAACGGCGCACGCGCAGGTGTAGTCTCACCGTTTTATTGGGAAGCGTTATTACGGAAGTGTTACGTGACATCCCAGAGAACGGCTGCGAAGGAGAATAGCACTAGTAAAGTGTAATGTACGTTTCATCGCCTTCGTGACTGCCTCTACAATTTGCTAGCTGTCAAATTGCCTTCCCACAGGCTAGTTCTGCCACGCCAAATCAGATACCAACTTGCAACTTAGTCACATGAGTTTACCCTCCCTTGATGTTGATAAAATTGATTTTCTCTCAGTTCATTATGACATAACTAGTACTTTCCTTTGCAATATAACTCTAGTTTTAATTTTAAGACCCTCGAATAAAAAGGGTGCATTCGTGAATAAAGGGGGTAAGTTTCTAAAGAAACTGTGGTGCTGCGCCGGTGGGAGAGTATAACAGGGTAACGTGGTATGATCAACTGAATTGATTACGTGAATTGGCCACCGTAAAGAGTTTAAAGGCTAACATTTCGAGCGTTAATCTATCGCCAGAGCGAGTGACGTTATCAACTCAGTTAATGACACTAAATTACCCTGTCATTCTGAAATAGTTTGTCGATGGGGCAGCTTTTATTCATAGGAATACCGACTGTCCACCTAGATGGTCCGTTGATGAGTGTTATCTTTACGTTGTTGATCGACGAACAATTGTTTTTCTACTTTTCACTCTTAACAGAACGAGCATCAACTCGAAGTAACGATGCTTTCACAAGGCGTTTGTATGCTTTACTCGTTCTTCATGCCTCCTGCCAAATTGAAGGAAAGACTACAAACTAAGTATGTCACCTTTGGTTTTCTTTTGTTGTTTTCTAATGTGGAAATAAGTTACAATATCATTTAAGACGCGCGCCAACATTCGGTTCTCACCAGTACGCAGTATTTTTTTCTTGTAATCACCTGAGCCTATTTCACGATTCCAGCATTTCCGTTTTTTATTTACATTTTGAAATCTCCTAATTCAGTTTTGTAACTGAAACAATATATGCGCTTTACTGTTTAGTTTGATAAACTTTTTCATATTTTTTTCTCGCGTGTTTTCCCTCGTGAACAGAGTTTCTGAAGCGGTTGAAAAGGTATCCAAGAAGCGAATTAAACCTCACGTTAAGGCCCTGGTGCTCGAGCTGTGCTGTAACGATAAAGATGGAGAAGATGTCGAGGTCCCGTATGTGCGCTATCGCTTCCGGTAGACTCACGTCTGAACACCTAAATCTAGTTCCCAGTCGCCTACTTAAAAAGAACAGTAGATAATTAGATGAAATGTATCCAAACGAGGCTAGAAGCCCGACGTTAGCAATATTGTACTAGATCTGAAAACTTTTTTCGGTTGAGTTTGTTAGCACCAGATGTGTGAAAGCAGTCTCATTTAATAAAGAAAACGACGTAAATAGTAATGATGGCTGTTTCCTAAGATACCTTCGAAACGGCGAAGTCAGAGCCTACCCTGGAGTGTTTTTGTTCTGTTAATAACAGACAGAAGAGCTGGGATTCGATTTTAATACTACGGTGAAGTGAACTAAAAAAAAATGTAAATGCCATGAACGCAAGCAGCCTCCAACCCTGCATCGGAGCATTCCCGAATCTGTCAAAGAGAGGGTTCAATCCATTTAGACTTGACTCGAACTAGTCCAGTCCAGAGCCAGCCCTAAGCTGCATGGATTTATTTTTCAGCCTCCCTCTCTCATTCAGACAACTACAGAGAAAGGCTGCGTGAGTTTTGCTCGAGAAAACTAAGCAATAGAACTGGGAATGTTCGATAAATATGGGGACAAAATGGGTAAGATCCTACGGTCAGCTTTGACTGATGGTGTATTAATGAGGAAAATTCTTTTCGAGTCGGATGTCCTTTTTTTTTTTCGTTTCAAGCCTTCCGTGTGCGCAAAACTGACATCAGAACATCAACAACTGCAGCAAAACATTTTTGCGGGCTAACTGTCAACCGCAAATTTAACAACCACTTGGTCGGGTGAATTATCTTTGTTAGCCGTCACCTCTTGTAACTTTCTCAGCTGCTCTTTGGAGGGTGTTAAGTGACATTCCGTAGGGTGTCACGCTCCTCAAAGAAATGCGACGAAGGAGACTTGAGACAAGTACTGCTAAAGTATAGCCTGTGGTAGGCGTCCCCTCAACTTGAGGGAAATTGTAGGGTGGGTATCTTTTTGTTGCAGTGTCTTCGAGGTTAATGAGGCCTTGTCCATGGAAGAGGTCCAGAAATACGAGTGCACACAGCAAGTTTTCGAAGGACTGTAAACATAAGTATTTATGGGCGAAAATTTGGTTTGGATACTCCCCTTTGGATGCCCTTCTTTGCTCAAAACAAACTTTGATTTCTAAGTTTCACCACTTTGTGTTAATCAGTTTATGGTGCGCTTTTACGCTTGTTTGGCACTGATTGTTCACTGACTGAAATTAACTGCGTGTAGAGGAAGATTAAAATTCAATCTAAAAAGAGGATGATAATAATAATAAAAACAAGTGCTTTGATCAGAGGAATTTCGTGCTAAAGCTTCAAAGACGCGATCGGATTTATTTTTATATCCAGCCAACTTTAATTATTGAAGTCTAGTATTTATATTGTAACAAAGTGTGAAGCCTTATGAATAAAATACAGACGGACTTATTTGTAAGTGTAAACTTGAGAACAAGAAAAATTTGCGAATGAATATTAATCACCTTGACTCTGTCAAACTCGACGTTGGAACTAATGGAAATTTGGCTGAAATAAAGTTCAAGTCAAAGATGGTTTGAATGAATTCTTATAGCTACTTTGTGACAATCTTCTCCGTTTCTGCCATCCAAATCTCAACAAAACTTGCAACGGTATGTGTGTCCCGAGTCGCCGATAAGCATCCATTTTCTAAACAGCAAATTCGGTTTCAACGAAACAGAATTGAGAGCGTAAACCCTCTCTTTGCCTCATTTATCAATCACACTCAAAGTATTACGGAGACTTGCCAAGTTTGACCCGATCGTTCGTTTGTGCTTGCTTGGCAATCTTTCCTAGTTTGGTGAGATTTTGGTTGATTCACAACAGAATTTCTATTATCCAACAAAACGCCCAATAGTGTTTCCTAGTTTGTCTTTCAGTCTCACCATTCTCAAGCAAAGCCTGCGGCCAACTAAAACTAGCTTAGCGTTGTACTGATTCTCTACCGTCACTATTGATCATCAGTGAAATTCTCCCAAGTGTCTGACACGAAAAGTCTCGCGAAGCGAAGAATGTAAACAAATCGGGTTGTATTAGAAAGGCTGTCATAGTAATGTGAAAGGCAATGTGTTAAAACCAAGCTGGTGAACAAGACACTTCAATACATTCTGTCACGGTATGCTTCCTCTTACCTCGCGCTGTCTTTCCACACTTTTGGCTTTATATGCCTTAACCCCAGCTGCCCTTAGTAATAAACCTACCTCGCCGACGTCGTGCCACAATGTGTACAATTACAACACGTTTAACGCGGGACCTAACAAGGAGATGAAGAAACTGCTGCTGGAGATAAAAACACAACTGACTGACCTTCAGAAGAAAGTGAACGGTATACAAGGAACGAAACCTATTGGAAAAGGTGAGTATTTGAAATTTTTTTTTTTTTTTTTACTGACTGTTAAGGATCGGTAATTATCTATTGCAGGGGGTGGGTTGGTAAGATTTTGGTTGACTCACAATAGAATTTCTATTATTCAACAAAACGCCCTACAGTCTTTTAATAATCCTCTTCTCATAGGAACATAATTTTCATGATCTCCCTCCCATATAGAGGTTATGCGCAAATACCAATATCAAAAATCTTTGCTGGTAAATGCTCTTAATTTATACAACAGAATTTGATCGAAGTTTGACATTTACAGAAACAGCAAGTTCCTTTTTTTAACGAGGAGGTGAATGGGCTGAAAGAAACGCGAAATGATCTTAGGTCACCCCCCCCCCCTCCCCCATTATACTCTATTAGCAACCACTGAGCCCTCCTCCCTTCCCTCTAAGTGATTCCAATTCCCCTCTCCACCGTCCCACCCAGACGATAAACAATGACTGGTTGGCTTGTTCAGGATTTTTGATTGCTTGATTATTTGCATAATGTGTTTGCATACAATTCATATTTTGACAATTGGCTTACTTTTTCATTATTTTATTTTTAAGATCTGCAAACAAGCCTGAAAAAATCTGTAAATCTGTAATTATCCTTCTTTAATTTTTTTTCGCAGTTTACAAGAACTGTGCTGAGCTGTACAAATCCGGTCAAAGAATCAGCGGTGTTTATACAATCGATCCTGATGGCTCAGGTGCCTTTGATGTGTTCTGTGACCAAAAGACAGCCGGTGGGGGGTGGACAGTGTTCCAGAAGAGACAAGACGGTTCTGTTGATTTCTTCCTTGGCTGGACCGACTACAAGATAGGGTTTGGTAATCTGAATGGAGAATTTTGGCTGGGACTGGACGAGATAAACCGCCTGACTAACAGTGCGAAGTTTAGGCTTCGTGTCGATTTGGAAGACACTAAAGGAAAGACAGCGTATGCCTCGTACGATTACTTTGCCGTCACCAGTGAGAAAACAAAGTACCAGCTCAGTCTTGGAATTTACTCAGGTAAGCTTATCTATTGAACTTATGAATCTACGCGATTACAGTAGTTTGACTGAATGGATGAATTCTTTAGGGATATTCATCGTTTGTCAAATTTACCTCAGGAATTGCTGGCGATTCTTTAAATCAGAGTCGTGGATGCCCCTTTTCAACCAAAGATCAGGACAATGACAACTGGAGCAAAAACTGCGCAGATGATTTAAAAGGAGCCTGGTGGTATAACTACTGTAGTTATTCGAACCTGAATGGTGTCTATCATCATGGATCAAACTCACTTGCTTCAGCTCTGAAGTGGTATCACTGGAGGGGTCATCGCTACTCCGTCAAGAGAGCTGAAATGAAGATTAGACCTGTAACTTTTTAACATCTGAGGACACTGAGCACATTGTCAAAAAATTGAAAGCATTGTAAACTCTGACGATGCTAATAAAATGTAATGGTATTAAAACTGCTCTGCCTTGCAGTTTTTGTATCCTCCTCCTCTTTATTTCATCTAAACTCTCTTTCCTTTATTTCTATCTCTGCCACCTTCAGCTAAGCTTATTTCCTTTTACCTTTCCCTCCATTTTTGAACTTTCTCTCTTTCTTTCCCTGATTTTCGTTATCCTCTCACCTGCTTTTTTTTTGTTTTTTTTTTCTCTTAGTTCCCTTCTTCTCTTCTCGTTTTCTTGCTTTTTTTCCTCTCGCTTTTCTCAGGTCTCATTCGCGTAATTCCTCGTTCCTTTCTTTTTCTCCCCGCCGCCTTCAAATAAGTTTATTACCTTCTGACCTTTCCTACTCTCTTTGAACTTTATTCTTTTAAGTTTATCTGTCTCTCTTTCTCTCTGGTTTTTCACATCCTTTCACATCCCTTCAAAGTCTTTGTCAGTTCCCTTCCTCCCTTCCCGTTTTCATTGCATTTTTTTCTCGCTTTCATCGGGTCTTATTCGCCCCTCACCTTTAAAGGGAGACTTGAGCTGCAGCCAACATCCCAAATCCTCTGCTCACATAACCTTATCAGGCCCAAACCCCACCAGGCTCTCCTAAGAAGTAAAGGCCTTTCCACACTAGCGAAAAAGTTGTTATTTAGACAAATTTCCTATCATCATCAAATTTTACAAGCGCGGATGGTTTGTCGCGACTTGACAAATTTTGACCGAAGCGGTCAAATCTTCAAACAAACCGCCGACACTGGGTGAAAACTGGACAAAATCGATTAAATGAACAAAACCGCGATAACCTTGTCGATCATTTGTCGTAAAAGCTACGAAAAGCGTGCGGTTTAACTCAAATCAGTTTACTAGAGAGGCACAAATTGTCTCTTGCTGCAAAACTCGGGCATTCTAAAATTTTAAAGCGACTTACGGATAAATCTTGTAAATTGGAGGTGGAATCCTTTGGCAACTATGCTGGCCGGTCATAAACAGATCAAGCGAATTTTTAATGCCGATGCAGCAGACGAAACATAAATTTGTCATGATAAAATTTGTCCTTTGATTTTGTCGCAAAATTCTACTTTCGTCCGCTAGTGCGGAAAGGCCCTGACTTGCACCATTTGAATCAACACTCGGAATTGTACGTCGCGCGGTCCTGGATACAAAGAAAACCAAAATGGCGGGCCAAGTCATATGAATGTTTCGCTTTGAGTTAGTTCCTCGACATGGAGTTTTTACTCACATAATGCTCTAGTCTTAACTTCTACCGGTAAGTAAGAAGTAACATGTCAGTTCTGAAGAAATTCACCAAAGAGGAACATGAGAGCTCGAGGTAAGCATGATACAGAACATTTTCGGTAGCTTTGATCGAGTTAGTTTCTGAATCCAATGAATGAGTTTTTAAATTGAGAGCATTTTGTAATATACGGGGAGGGTGTTGAAGCGACTTCTCGCTGTGAAGCTGACTTGAAAGTCAAATCGTACTCTGAAGTTAGATTTTTCCGAAAAAGTCCTCCTACCGAGCGCCATTATCACATGATGGGTGGAGACAAGTTCCTTCTGGTAAATGAAACTCTCTACGAACTGACAGCTGTTTTCAGGTTCACAATGTAAGATGATCAATCAAAGAGATCGCTCGTTTTCTAAGGTATCAGCTCATAACTTTCTTTGCTGTTGAAACCAAACGCTCTATATATGTTTGATTAAACGAAGACTTTGATGTAGGCTAACTACATATTTCAGAGAAGCCTACTTTCATGTCGTTTCGTCTGTTATACATTACTTAGACTTCTAAGACTTCCTCCTGAATGCAGTTGAATCTTTCATGTAGGCCAACTTGAGTGGAGTTGTATTCTTCCCCTGACTCAATTTAAATGGAGCCATTTTAGGAAACACCAGGGAGCTCTTTTCTACAAGGATCTTTGGCTCTGTTTGATACTGTTTCAAAACATCTTATTTACAAGGGGGTAGGGGTCCTTGTTTATTAGTAAAGTTCAGGGCTTTATAAGAAAAATACCATGTCCCATAAAATGTGTTAAATTTATTGTGGTAGACAATCAAAACTTTGGTGTGGGGACACCATGGCCAAAGGAAATGGATTTGACCTGGCGATAGGGTATCTACTTGGATAGAATGGACAATCATGTGCTCTGAGGAAAAAATGATACATGTCTGAGTGACCTCAAGTTACTGAAATTTTTAAGGATTTATTTTAGCGAAACCCATTGCATTATGATTTAGTTAGAAATAGTTTTACTACATGTACAGGGAAACAGGATTTTGTATACATCATAATTGTCAATTAGGTGATATTAAACACACCAAATGAAAACTGAAAAAAAGGTGATAAGAACGTTGAAAGGCAAGAAAATAAATAATAACATGGATAACAAAACTTTTAGGGATACAAAGAAGGGACTGATAAGATTTTAAAGAGGCAAAGTTGGAATTTCCCATTTTAGAAACTGGATTCAGCTGTGGATTATGTCATTGCCCACTGAGCTGTATCAACAGTCAACTCTCTTTTTCCGTCTTCTGTTTTGTTGTCATAGTGATCAGGAATGTCATTTGTATGTAGAAGCAAAAACCAATCAATGGCCCATAGTGTACTCTGATGACTATAATATTGGTTTTATGGGCCTGGAAAGGCTTCATCCATTTGATTCAGGAAAATGGGGGAAAGTTTTTCAATATCTTAAAGGTAGGAAGAGGAATCCTGTACTTTTTATTTGTACAGACGACCATGATTTGAATTAAACTGCTTCTAACAAGTTTTAATGTATGCAAGGCTGCAAAATTCCTCAAATAATATACATTCAACTGTTAGTAGATCCATTTTGATTTGGCAAAACAAAAATGCAGGTTGGACATTTTAAATTTACCATTATTATTTTTATTACTGCTGTAGATTTTGAAATACTAGTATAATCCTGTTGTTGCTATACAGAAGCTGTTTTTTCTCTCTCCTTCACTTAATTTCTTTACTTATTGAAGAAATGTTGACCAAAGGGTAGTGAAAAATTAAGATTTTGTCAGCCATCTGTCCATTATTGTTGGACTTTGTTAGCAAATGTCTTTTTTTTGTGACTGTGCTATGATTTATTGAAAAGTTTTTGAAATTGTTGTGGTTGTGGGTAAATTTAAACTCAGGCTCCTTATTTCAAGTTGGTAAATTTTGTGTTTCAGATGGAAAGATGGTTGATGAAAGCACAGTTGTGACACCTAGGGAAGTTACCAGTGATGATCTATTGGTTGTACATACAGAGAGCTATTTAGATAGCCTGAGGGTAAGAATGAATATCTAAACATCTTGGGCTTAGAGCTTGCAATGAATGATATGTACCCATTTATAGACAAGTTCACAAGGACATCTGTGCAATACTTGTGGCCTGGAAGCATTCACTTGATAAACATTTTGTGTAACTTGTATGAGTTGATTTATTTTTCAACTACTGGCTTAGATTTTTGCTAAATAAGTGTTTTAATTTCTGTGTGTGGCTAAGGAATATTAAGCTGTAGCACATTGCTAGTGCTGTTAACTTTTGATAAGAAAATAATTGTCAGTACATCTCTTACAGTGGAGTGCCCGTGTTGCTATGATATGTGAAGTGCCTCCCCTTGCTCTTCTGCCAAACTTTATTGTGCAACGTAAAGTCCTCAGGCCAATGAGGATTCAGACTGGAGGATCAATACTGGTAAATTTGGTTTATAAATAAACAATAGCCCCCATTTGGTGCAAAAATACACACAGACATTTGCCCTCAGACAATGTCTGTTCCAAATCTGATGCAAATGGTTTTTATGAGCAAAGCTCGAGGAAAACTGTGAGCTTTGAGGAACATGTTATGTCTAATGACAAATGTAAAAGCATATTATCGTATCAAATTTAAGTATTTTTGCGATGCATGTGAGCGCATACCATTTGCTGTGTTGGATGTTTACTTTACTGTACTCTCTAGTTTGACTTAGCTAAATGCCCCCTCATCTTATTAATTTTTAAACAAACCCTTTTATTGATTAGAGGTTTGAAAATAGGAGAACATCACTGGGAATATATCCTAGATAGCAGTTCTTGCAGGATATTCCTTAGTTTTAGCTGGGGCATATTGGATCTCATGATGCTTTTAAGCTCATCGCATGTGAACGAAAATAAATGATGGACTATAACTACCAGTATTTACTGTAACTTTAAATTGTTTGCATAGCTGCTAAAACATATTTAATTAATATTATTTTAACATTTAAATTCTCTCAAGGTCTATTATTTCACAACATTTCAAAATATTGAATTCTTTTTATTTTCATTTAGTGTCATTCAAATTGATTAGACACATGTATATCTCTATTTTTATTCCACCAGGCAGCCAAACTCGCTGTTGAAAGAGGCTGGGCAATAAATATTGGTATGATCCTTTTTTATCTGTGTTTGTCATCAATCCCAAATAACATGCAGTGACATTTTATTTTTGAATAGTTAACAACATGATTTCAAGTGTTAAGACTACTTGTTAATAATTTACCTGAAAAACGCATCACAGAAAGGCAAGATGGACAAAATTTTGGCACTGAGTGCTCTTTGTAATTTTTACATGTGTTACATGAAAAATGTACTTGTTTTCAGCCAATCAGATGCACATGATTTTTAAATGTATATTATTAGATCTGTTATGAGGATGTTTGTGTTAAAATGTATGTTTGATTTGTTTTTTTTCTATTTATCATATATTCAGGGGGTGGATTCCATCACTGCTCTGGGTCCAGCGGAGGAGGCTTTTGTGCTTATGCAGATATAACATTAGCCATCAAGGTAATCCAACTGGCTCACAAATTATTTAATTTATGATTTAATATCTTGTATAGGAGCTCCATTATGATATGCCATTATTTAAAACTAAGTAATTGTCTTTTTCTTGATATATATGCCAATTTAATGTTGAGATGACATGATGTATCTGAAACTTGATTGAGTATAACATGCAAGTGCAAATTGTGTAGGATCATTAAGAACGTTTAAGGTCACTAATCTCAAGATCTAATTGTTAATTCTCCCTCCTCACTGCTACACATTTCCTTGAAAATAATTTGTGAGAATTTGGTGTTAGATCAAGATACCAACTTCTATCTGGTACATTTGAGTATAATTTTCATAACCTGTTTGCTGGGGATAGTGCATGGGTGCTATTAATAGGAGATGTTATTTGTTAATTACTTCTGGGAGTGAAAGGGTTATAAATGTGTATGGTTGATATTTATGTAGATTTAATTGTCAGTGGTTGTTTTTCTGTTTGTTTTAGTTTCTTTTCAAGCATGTGGACAGCATAAATAAAGCCATGATCATTGATCTTGATGCCCATCAGGTATTTTTTTATCTTATGGAGAAAAACAGTTCTTAGTTTATGGAATTCCTCTAAGTCCATCAATTTAAGTAAGAAGTTTGATATGTTATGATGGTGACGCCTGAGAAAACAGAGATAAGAAGTGAACTTGTATTTACTTCCTCAAAGAATTTGGCAAGGGAGGCCAAGAAGGCTAACTTGCATGCATAGAAAAGAATAATAATCATGCGGCAATCATGGAAGAGTTACAGGGTACTATGTTTATTATAATTAGAGGTATGTTATATGCTTCTGGCAATACCTATGACCAGTTGTTGAATTGTTTATATCATTGTTTGTGTCAGGGTAATGGTCATGAAGCTGATTTTGATGGAGATGAACAGGTGTATATCATAGATGTCTATAATGCTTACATTTACCCTGGGGATACCAAAGTCAAAGGTAAGACACTGTCTAGTTATTGTACTGATGACGTCTGAAATAAAAAAGGAATTACTCTGGGTTTACAACCACAATTATTCCAGAACAGGATATTCCTTTAGATGTTTAAGTATCTGAAAAAAAAGATTCCTTTGGGGGGTAGGGATGTTAGGAGTCCTGTTCTCATAGAAAATTCAGGTGAAGATGGGGATAGAGAGTTTGTTTAGAGAGAAAGCTACTACTGGTATATTTTTCATTACAACATTGCTAATAAACTAGCATACATTGTAATCAAATTCAATGATGTTTCTGAGAATCCAATTAATTAAATAGTTTCTCTGTCTAATGATAATGTGTGCCTGTTAAGGTGCAGCAGAGGGTATTTCTTTTGATAAAACAGTTAAATAATGTGCTAATGATCTTTAAAGCAATTTGTTTATGGGTTAGTTATGCTTTTATCAAGGAAGAAAGCACTGGTAATGATAAGTTTAAAGAAAACCCAAGAAGGAAGAGCTGCCCTGGGGTTATGCCTTGAGCAACTTCTGTGCATCATTTTAACTGCTCAAAATGATGACCCTATGCAGAAGCATGTATTAATTGTTGATTTCAAATCATTTTTCCACAGGAGCAATAAAGAAAAATTTGGAGCTAAGACATCACACAGATGATGAAACATACATTCCATTATTAAAGAAGTAAGGGAACCATTCTTAATTTATTCAACTTATTGGAAAGTATTTTAGGTCCACTTAAAGTTCCAATATGAACATTTTAATCTTACAACTTGGGACTGTACTTACAAAACACAACACAAGCAAGGATTTCTTTCAAAGAAAAAACAGAACCACAAGGTTGCACAGCCCATAAGGCTATGCGTGTGTACATCAGTGCATCATGCCTAGTCACACCTAGTCATGCTTACAGGTTCCAACACTACTTGACTGTACTTCTGCTTCGTAATTTTTGGCTTATTTGCCTCCTTGTGATCAAAAAGATTTATTTCCTTTTTTCAAGTACATGTAATAGTGGCAGTTGTAGGGGTACGAAAGTCTGCCTAAATATGTGTGGAAGTGCACTCTTGTAACATATAGATGACTTCATAAATAATCACACACCTTTAATCCTTTGTTCAAGGCACATACCAGAAGCTTTAAATGAATTTAATCCTGATGTCATAGCATATAATGCAGGTGAGCTTAAGGCAGCAATACCTGACCAGGTACTGTTTAGTGTCAACTTGAATAGCAAATATATAATAAAATATGTTAATTCATGTTAATTCAGTTTTTGAACTTCCAATTTTAACAAGAAAAAAAAGTGAAGGGTTGGTTTTTAATGTTATCAGTAAGAGGCTAAGCTATGCAAAAATTATTCTGGGCTCATTTGGAGTTAATTTTTTTCTGAATTTTGTGTGAGACCAACTTAACTTTATGTTGATTTCTTTTTACCTTTGGACTGGACCATGCTGGGAAATGGGGTGGGGTGAGGGAATTGGGGGGTGCTGGTGGCCTTTTAGGAACACAAAAGAAAAACCAATGGTTAAAAAAAGCATATTTCATTTTTAAACTTTTTTTGAAATTCTTTAAAAACATGTTCATGTAGATTCTATCTTTTACAGGGACAGATATTCTTATTGGGGATCCTCTTGGTAACTTGGCAATAACACCTCAGGTATGTGAAAGGTGAATTTGAAGATGTTCTGTTGAAAGTCAGAATTAATGGTAACAATGGATCAATATATACATGTTGTGCATTGTTACATGTATCAGAGCGGGAACAAATATCTCTTGGTGTATTTTTCTTATCATTGAGCCAACCTGTTGTACAGGTTTTTTTTACAGGACAAAAGAACCATTTTATTATAATCCAACTTTGTGCAGTTGCATGGACAATAAATCATTTTCTCAATATGATGATCCAAAACAGTTCTTATATTGTTCTTTATTGGGGGGGGTGAGGTGGGAAGCAAAACCCTGGCTGTTAGCTCCTGAGTTATGCAAAGCTGATACACTGTAAGTGATAAACATTTCATGTAAAAAATTTAGAAAACAACTATTTTCACCTTGTAGGGAATCATTGAGAGAGATCAAATTGTTTTTCAAGAAGCTCGAAAGAGAGACATTCCAATCTTTATGTTGACCTCTGGAGGATATCAGGCAAGTCATGAAATAAATAACTACTTGAAATTGAAATTATTAGGGTTAAAGTAGCTTTCTAACTATTTAACTGTAATTATATTTGTCCTTAATTTTGTTGTTTGATTAAGGTTGGTCAAAAGAAATTCACTGCAAAATGACTAATAACAATGATCATGTGGTCTTTTTTTTGTTGCAGAGGAGAACTGCAAGAATTATTGCAGACTCTATCCTGAACTTAAAAGAACAGGGCCTTATAAGCTGCAATTATTCTGAGTCGGGTATGTTTCTCACAGTAAAATGCAAGTTATGAATTTTTCATCTCTTTCACTCCCAAGATTTAAATATTAAATTTCTATACAGTGTAATGTGCTTCTTACAATTATAGCTTCCATAAATTGTTATTAAATAAAGCAATTGACCCCAGTCGATATAACCCTTACTGGTATTTGTGACCACTTTTCTGTATGAAAATGTATTAATATTGTAAAGGGAAATTCATTAAAATGTTATTGACCCAAAAATGGCACTTGCAGGATCACAGATCACAGTTAGCTCAGCCTCTAAGTTGGACTTATTAAATAGATTTTGAACAGTAACTCCGATATTCATTCAAAATTTTAATTGTTACCTTTAGTTAGTGTAAAAGGCAGACTTGATTCTCAGTTGAGAGTATTGATATAAGATCACAAAGGTACAGTGTATTACCTTAAGGGTTCTATTTTTGTTGTATGCTCAGGCAAGCATATGAAATTTCAACCTTTAACCCTTTACACCATAAGGTCAGGGTGCATATTCTCCATACTGTTCTCAGTAAATTTTTTAAGGCATTGACTAGGAGAATTTGGCGAACAATCAAGAGCTTCCCTAGTTGGTGATCATATCTTTTATTCTCATAACCTTTATGTGTGATTCAAGGGTGATATTGTGAGGAGAAATAAGATGCTGGTCACTCTTAGGGGTTAAAGGTTAACAGCTATTTCCAGTTTGGGCTCTTACAATCTCATGGGCAAAGAGGCACTTGATATAAACTTAAAATAAAATAGTTTTGATACCAAAGATCTTATTTTATTTCTCCTAAGGGCCAAGGGTCAACAAAAACAAGAGTGACAGTCGAACAACCTACAATACTTTCCAGAATGATCTGTAATTGGGAATTACAAGTTCACGTTCCACAAATTATTAAGTGAACATATGGTGAAATGTTACTTCTGCTGAAGTATTAGCTTGTAAAATTGAACATGATGGAACTTCAACATTAACCTACATTTTAAGTTTACAACTGAAGTTTTGGTGGATATTAAAGATGAAACAATCAACTTGTGAAACCTGAGAAATTTTGGCAGACCTTAGACTTGATATTGAAATTTATTAAATTTATTATTGTATCATGATCTCAGTTAGTATTTGCACTATGATTAGTCAATTTAGAAGGCCATATTGTATTGTATGGCCTCAGTGCTAAATTCAAAAGGTTATTTGAAATGAAATATTTCCCCTCCATTTGAATCCAGAGATATGAATGATAAATATCTTGCTATTAACTAACTCATTTTCTCTATCTCTTCTGTAAATAATAGACCCTTTTTTTTTTTTCGTTCGCATTTTTGAGGTCCTTGTTCTGGGTTCATAAATCTTAGCAGAGATTTGTTACTGTACAGTTTAGGCAGTAGCAAGCTCTTCGATGTAAACAGGATATTTTCATGGCAGCACTGAACTGGGCTTTTTGTGCTAAGACTAAATAATAAGTTTGATGTAAATATGAGTACGAATTTTATTGTATTACAGGTATATTTCAAAGTCTCATTCTAGTCAAATCAACAGTGTTGATTTAACCTCTAGTCATTTCTAGAAACTATTCAGGTGTCAAAAATTTTTAACTTAATGTAATCTATTAAATTATTTTTGTTGATTTATTACCAATTATTGTTCACTTTGTGAATATGTTAAATGAAATGGTGTACATAAAAAGTTTAGTGGAGATATTGTGGTTAGAGGAAGTTTCATGATTGAATGTTTCCAAAGTAGCTTCAGTTGTTGTTTTGAGGTATTTGTTTCAAGATTATGAAACTCAAATTTCAGACATGCAAATTGAGTTTAAAATAAAGTTGACCTGAAGTTCATTTAAATTGTTGTTAATGGTAAGACATTAATACTCACCAAGCTTCTTTGGTTTGTGATCATGACCTTAATGTTTGATTAAGGGGTGATATTGTAAGAAGAAATAATATGTGTTTCGTAGGACTCAAGGGGGTAAAAGAATGTGCAGAGTAATACTTCTGCTGGCTTCTGATGCACTATCTACTTCTCCCTCTGTTTCACACCAGATTACTAGATGATATGCAAGGAGAATCTATACATCTATTTAGAAGTTACTCAAGAATTTTTTCGTACACCCTTTAAATAAGTGGTGGACAAATCACATTTCTATTAGTGTCATACGTCATAACAGACTCTCTTTATTAAATGAATTTAACATACTAGAAACTAAATGTACAGTACAACCAAGACAGGTTAGAAGGAAATATAGTACATTTGAAATGTCAATAAAATTTTGACAACTGCATAAAACTCCTTAACATTTCCATTTTGTGGAGCTGGAAAAGTTGTTTACAAATAAGTGCATGTTTCCCTAATAATTTTATGCATTATCATTACAGCTTTTCATAAAGTATTGAGAGGTCCTCATCTACTTGTTGTGTTATACTGCATAAAGTAAGCTGCTGTAGGGGGATTGGTGTAAACTTCTTTGTCAAGATAATCCATTCTGTAAGGAAAAGCAAAGGACATAAGTCTCAGTTTTCAGGCAACTTTGTTGAGAACTCTTATCCAACATCTGTTGCCTTTATCTTTTTTTTTTGGTACTTGTACTTGTAAACTTAAGATGAAAACTAAATGCAGCAAGCTAGTCTTTTCAAAGACCTTTATTTCTCCAAGATGGTCCTCCAAAACACATGCAATTAGAGCTGTAAGCTCTGCACATATCAGTTCCCACACTTCTTGCCAAAACAGGCAACTGTTCTTGCCAAACAGGTAAAAACAAAAATAGCTGTGGCCTGCCTTTGGAAAGTAGACAAAGACATCATGTGCACGCAGCCATTCCCACCAAATCCACCCACATAAGAACCACCTCTGTTTTAAAGAATAAGGACCTGTTACCAAAGTTTAATCATAGCAAGATCAACCTCCGAGTGGTAAAACTTCAGTCTTGCCAACAACTAGTAAATGTCTCAGTTAAGGTGCAAGTGGGGTAACCATGGCTGCCTTTGTATTATAGCTTTGAACTTTTGAATTACTGGAAAACTTACTTGGCTCTTTGTTCAGCTGCCAGTCTTCTGTTCTCATCTGCCTGGTCCTTTTCAATCTCCTTTTTCTTTCTTTCAATTCCCCGTTCTGCTATTATTCCTGCCTTAGCTTGCGTCAACCTCAATCTATTGTATTCTTTTTCCTGCTCTCCCTCTTCCTGTTTCAGTCTCTATAGACAACAACAATAATAAACACATTAAGCTGATGATAGCATAAGTCATGAACAAACATGTCTAAAAAAGTTCCTTTGTAAGTCTGAAATTTACTTTAATTATCTTTAGACTTTGAGAGCCCATAATAGATATGCTTGTAACTACTGCTCAAAAGAATACCTACTGTAAATTGACAATCTCAGCTCAAAACTTGAATTTGCTATTGTCAACAATCAAAGTGAGTTTAGAAGATCAAGTTTTGAGTATTGATGTTTGACAATCAAATTTTAAGATTTTCCAAGAACTTATCAAGGATGTTGATCAAAAGTTTCCTGTACACTAAATCACACTAACCTCCTTCTCCTCCACCTGCGCGTGTTGAATACGTCTTATCTCTGCCAGTTGAGCTGGGCTCATACCCTTCCAGCGATCAGTGATCACCCTGTGAGGTCCAAAGGCACTCTGGGCCACATCAGGATTTTCTGTCAACATGTCACCAAACACAGAGTTTGATATTTCAGTAAAGTTGTCATCTTGTTCCTGTTGTTTATCTACATCTTCTTTAGCCTTCCTTTCTCTTGCCAAAGCTTGGTTCATATCTTTAGTTGCCATATTTATTGCACGCCTGCAATCTGCTTCAGCACTGGCAAGTTCACAAGCTCTTTGGTCCATTTCTCTTGCCTTTAAATCATAAAGATGGTCTGCATACTTCTGATTTGCCAAAGCTTGATCTTTCTCATTTGTTTGTTGCTTGATCCATTCCCTATAAATTCAGAAAGGGATATTAAAATTTTAACTATCAAAGAGTCACAAACACAGGATTCATGACAACTATTGCATCAAATTTCTGAACAACCCTACATTATTGTTCTGTAACATTGAGCAACTTGCCTTACTGTTATGAAATTTGCTGGTCTGTTTTGATCTTTTAATGTAAATCAGTCTTGATATAATGTAAATAAAAGTCACTAACCCTCTCTACTTAAATATTATCCCTTACCGTGCTTGTTCTTGCTGTAACTTTTCACGTGCCTTGCCATTCAAATCTTCCCCAACAAACTTCTGAAGTGATGCCACCCCACAACGAGGGTCATCATCAGATACCCTGGCAGGTTTGTCTTTCTTCAAACTATCCGGATCATTCAAGTCAAATTCACGTCTATCATATGGCTGCTGGTAAGATTGACGGAATTCATTCACAGCCTTATTCAACTCACGCATGTCATGTTCCTGACGCTTCTGAAGCAAGACAGTGATTTTATCATTTCTTGTCATGTCAGCAGCTGTAATCATCACAAAGAAGCATATTTCAGTCAAGGTAGAGCATCCATCATGTGCACTATTAGTAGCCTTGGTCAGTATATTAATTAGCAGTCGACCAACAATCACCCAGAAGTTATCCCATGTCTCAATGACCTGATAGTAGGTTGACACCTTAACCCTTTAACTCCCAAGATCTGACTATTAACTCTCCCCTCTAGCTGCTACATATTTCCTTGTAAATAAGTTATGGGAACTTGGTGCTAGATCAAGATAGCTGTTTCTACCTGATAAGCTTGAATATTCTCATTACCTGTTTGCTGAATAAAGTTTGGATATTATTGGGAGAAGTTTCATGTTAATCACTACTGTGAGTTAAAGGGTAAAGACATTTCGACACACATCTTGACTAGTGGCTGTCACTGTCCTTGAGCTCCCACCCCACTTAATCTCCTGTCATCTTGTTAAAAGATTTTGGATAGAAATGCTTATCAACCCAGGCTACCTGATGGCACATTACTACAGGTAGATATTTCTATCAAATTAGCCTGCCTATCTGCACTGCACACATGATCTAAAATAACTACAGAAACACAGGTACTATTTCGTATGTTCATCTGTCGCTGATTTACTGATAGCCACGTTAACGTCCGAAAAAAGTTATCAACTCTGATTAAAAGTTTGATTGGCTGAGAAGCACCAATTTAGTTTTTGCTATTTAACGGGCCAGTCTACTTGCCGCGCTTACTGGCGAATTCGTAATCGGCCATCCGAGTTACCTAAGCCAGAAACCTTGCTGTTATAATGACAACCTAATAGTTGATATTGTTACCTCTAACAGTACAAAAAGGAAAGATCGTGGCCATGTGTAGGGAATGTTTTTCGTTTGCAACTGTCTGACATTTCAGGAAATTGAGACTTACCGAACGCATTATGTCGCCTCTCCTCTTCAACTTCGCGTCGTGTACGATCTTGCACTTGCTCGTTGAGTGCATTCAAGTCAATCTTAAGGTAATAAAAACACGTAAAATTCTTGAGAATGTTTCAACGATATAAAAACGCCCACAAGCAATCATACGTGTGTAGTCTAGCTGATGTGGTTCTACAGGTGGTTCAGATCAGACCAATTTCAATAGGTGTTCATTTCTAAACCCAGTTTCGCGTTCTCCGTCAGAAAAACAAGAGAATTCAGACAAATACGAAAACAAAGTCATAGGAAACACTACTCTTGCTTGACTAAAATCAAAACAAAATTTTAACTTGTCTCTTTGACTCACTTTCTTATTATCAGCATTGTTACCATCCACATCTACAAGAAATAAACACTTACCCCAATGGTTCGAACACGAGCGTTGAAAATCCTACTTTGGCGCTGCAATTCTCGATTCCGTCGCCTCTCTATGGCAGCGCTCTCCTTCATATCTACGGGAAGGTCGAGTTTATACATTTCTCTTCTTTCTTAAGATCTTTAAAAAACTGCAATCCTGCTAAAACGTCGATTCTCGTAATGTTTTCTCCCTGTATTAGTACTGAGTTCCTTGTTGCTTGCCTTTTGTAACCATCTCCTTTGCTTTGCACGGTTGCTAGGAAACATTTGCATACCATGATGCATTGTAAACTGTATACTCGCCCCAATCTCCCGTAACTTGCATAAAATTTTAAGTAGGTCCGCAACACGTAGCAAACATATTCGGCAAATTTTGAAAATGTAGAAATTAACAAGTCAGAAAGCACCTACTTTGAAATTTAAAGAATTAAAGTATAAAAAAACACGAATAGATTTAGGAAGTAACGCTTGAAGAAAGATGCACGCTTGATCAGGGCTCAAAACTGTCTCTTTCAGATGCCGTTTCAGCGCTTGAACGTATCAACTGGGGAAGGAGAACAAATGTCGCGGAGACGGGACGAATTGTAAAATGTTTCTCGAAGTATTTTGCCATTACTGCGATCTCAAGATAAACAACTTGTGACGGTCATTCCTTAGCCTACGGCCTAAAAACTTCTCTAAAAGATTACCACCCGCAATATTTCTTATTGATTGCCGAATCTCGCTAAACAAGCTGCAAAACTATCTCCTCACATTTTCCAGATAAGCGAGATTTTGCTATTTTGAAAGTCTGTGTTAGTATGTCTATTCGAAATACTTGGAAGCTGGTTTTTTGAGACCTAGTAAACTCATGAAAAGCAATAATTGTAAGACGTTACGTCGTCGAATTTTTAAGATTTTTATTTTTTGTTCCAGATGTCAACAAGGCCGCAAAGTAAACCATTTTCGAGCTAAATCATCTGTGTTCACCAGCTGTTTATGAACAAGATGCCGAGGAGATTCGAGTTCGGTAAGTTTGTCACATTCCCTGTTTCATCTACATCATAACTCTCGTGGTGTTTTGAAACAAAATTAATGTCCGAGTACGGGAATGCTCTCAAATAGGGAAGGGTTGGGGGGGGGGGGGGG